AGTTAGGCCTAGGTAATTATGCAAAACCCAGGCCTAACTAAAAAATAAAAATTGTCATAATATGTAACTCAAGTTAAAAAACACTTTTCATTAATCGTGCAGCTTAATCAAATATTATATGTCATTTTAAACGACCCATTGGTATTAACATGGTACGGTAACATCAATGTATTTTTAAAAATCAGACAGCGACGTTCTCTCAGAAGTTGGTTGTTCTGTAGACGTTTATCTGTTGATGACCTTTTGACCTCCTGAATTCTGCAATGAGGTTTTCGTGTCGATTCAGCCGAGACGGCCCGAGTGGAGTTTCATGTAAATGTTTCGTACGGAAAAAAAAATCGCGTCCTGGCCTGCTGAGAACTATGGGCGGCCATTAGGGCCAAAATAGACAAACATTGGCGTACGAACAATCCCACTCTCACGCAGTAAGGACAATAAAAATTGCCGTAAGCACAATACAAACTGCCGTAAGGACAATACAAATTGCCGTAAAGACAATACAAATTCTCGTAAGGACAAGACAATCACTCGCCGTAAAGACAAGACAAACTCTCGTAAGGACAAGACAATCACTCGCCGTACAGACAAGACAATTCGCCGTACAGACAAGACAATTCGCCGTAAGGACAACACGTTAAGGACGTTAAGGGCAGCATATTTTATGAGGCGACAAGGTTATTTTTAGCATAGCGTAACAAAATGGTGCAGTCCACCCACCTATTATAAATAGATTAGGCCACTCCCTAATGCTGGGAGCCGATTGGCTATCTAAAAATAGCTGGGTTGGGATCTTAAGACCCATCGCCCAAGACATGTACAGTAGTAGTTGAGCTCTGGATCTCAAAAAATTGTATGTTGTCATGGCGAGATAGATTATCTTGACAAGTCGACATAATAAAAGTTGTATGTTGTCATGGTGAGATAAATTATCTAGACAAGTCGACATAGTAAAAATGTTATGTTGTCTTGGCGACATATAATGCTTACTATGTCGACTTGTCAAGATAATCTATTTCGCCATGACAACATACAATTTTTACTATGTCGACTTGTCAAGATAATCTATCTCGCCATGACAACGTAACATTTTTACTATGTCGACTTGTCAAGATAATTTATCTCACCATGGCAACATACAACTTTTATTATGTCGACTTGTCAAGATAACCTATCTCGTCATGACAACAAAACATTTTTAGTATGTCGACTTGTCAAGATAATCTATCTCGCCATGTCGACATGATATGTATATTATGTCGACTTGACAACAAACATAATTATCTTGACAAGTCGTCAAGTCGAATGGCACTTAGGTGATTCCGTAGTTAAGTAAGGTAGGACCTGTAGTAATTCTATAAAATAGTTTATAGTCGAACTCAGTCATTAAAACTTGAGAGCCCAGTAAGGGACAGGCCTACTTATAGTTTAATTCCGGTGTTAACGGGAACCGGTCGGCGGCTGCTGTGTGCTCCGCATATATGACATTTTATCTGTTGTTGATAATGGTACCAGTTTTATTGATCCAATAAATGCTATGAGAAACTCAGTTAATTGTGTTTAAAGTTTATTCAATAGTCGATCCGTATTATCTGACGGCGTGTCCGACAGACTTACTTACGCAGGACTTAGACTAGAGACTGAGACTGCTTGGCCGAAACCGCCACAATAGAAACATAAAACTTTTCTAACGGCGGCGCGAAACTTTTGATTTATTTAACTTGTACATTAAACTCCGCCCATACGACGAGTATCTCTTTCACAACTAGGCCTAGTGCAGCCTAAACTAAACATTAACGAAAAGGTTGGTAGCTTGCATTAATGTAATTGTCTTTTATATCTTTTACTAGCCTAGCCTAGGCCTTCTAGGTGTATTTTGTTCATCATATCATCTTGTAGCCTAGCTATCAATACTATAATATATCTCTAATTGTATCAGCCACAATGACATTTTAATAGTTTCGTAAGCTGAAGAAGACCAGAGCGCTGTCGAAATAAACTAGTGTTCTATAGTCCACATGACTCGTTGCTTTAATTCCTTTCAACGCCTTTTATAGAATTAAAGAACACACGTGGATTTATGATTTATATATATATATATATATATAATTCTAGGTTCAATTCAATTCATAAAAATAATTTAGGCCTATTACTTAATTATCCAAAAGGAAATTCATTTGACCATGGCATAGGGCCTAGGCTATAACAACAAATACAAAACAGAGTACAATGAAAAAAATATGGGTGGACCACTGACAATGTCGTCAGTGGGTGGTCTTCTAACACTAAACAAAAAAGACAAACATAGTCAAGCCACACAGCAGGCCACCTACTATAGAGTAGACCTGGCTTCATGGGTAGTAGCAGCTAGGCCCTAGGCCTAGCCCCAAAATACAACACGAATAACCTAGGCTAGGGCCAGTCCAAATGAATGATTATAATATGTAGGCCTATTTAATTATAGTAATATTAATAATAATTGTAAAAGATATAAAAGACAATACATTACTGCAAGCTACCAGTTTTTTTTTTTATGTTCTAATCAGCAGTAGGTCTAGTTCAGTGATGGCGCCAGGACCTGCCTAAAGGCTGTCTCTTATAGTGGATCGAATCGAGTCTCACTTGGCTGGGGGCCAGGGGGCCGCCTAGAGCCCTGGCGGGAGTCCAAGTAAGCCACGGATATTTGACGAATTACGGCCAATTTTAATTATTTATTTTCATAGGCATCGAGTTACTATAATATGACTTTATGTAGGCTATGTTTTCTAATGTCGAAATCAGCTTCCAAAACCAAAACATTTTGAATAAAACAAAAAACAAAGCGTATGCAATGTAACCATCTAATTTATTTTTAAATCCTCATTCTTGAAAGTGAAATTTTGCATAAAATCTGTCAACCACGCTGTCATGGTCGAGGTTGCTTCACCAATACGATATTTCAAGCATCATGAGGCTATCCCAACGAGCATTTGTCATAAATTATTTTTAATTAGTCTCATTGAACTATTATTATTATTATTACTATTATTAGGCCTATTATTAATATTTTATCAATAATAATAATAATCTAGTTTTATATAGCGCACATATCCATCTAATGTAAGATGCTCAAGGCGCTTGATATAACCATGGAGGTATTATTGAGAAGGAGATCACTCGACAAAGCTACGCGCACGCAGCGCTATGCAAATGAACCAAGATCAAAGTTGCCGCAGCGCGTAAAGAACGTTTGCGCGATGCCTTTGAAGTCCCATGTGTTCCCCGCCATCAACTTTTCAACAGGCATAGTTGACCAAAAAATTGAACATGACGAAATGGAGAGCACCTTCTTTTCTCAATGCGCACTACATACTGTCAATCACTATGGCTGCGCAATCTTTTTTATTTTGAAGCTGATACATTCATCTCTCATAACATATCAAACATATTAATATTTTCCACCAAGAAAAGTTTAGAATTTAATGGAACATTTACATGACCTATAAAAGTATAGTATATTTCAACTTCAATTTTCATAAATTGGCCTAAATTCGCCCATTCTAATTTTAACAGATATTAATTAATAAATGATTACGGATTATAATAAACTAAGTCATTTTAGGGTTAACGAGGGTTAACTATTCGAAAAATGAATCCAAAATCTGAGTATTTTTCAGTTTTAC